CCCCCTCTGCTGCAGCCCAGTCGGCTAGGCCGACTGCTTTAGTCGGCCAGGCCAACTCCTCCAAGGCAGCTAAGCTGACTACCCTAGTCGGCTCAGCCGACTCCCCTGTGGCCAGTCCGGTCACTTCACCCGAGAAGCTTCCAAATTGGCCTGATGTAACTTCTAGTAATGTTGGGGCCGATTTAGAAGATTGGAGGACTCGCTTACTGAGATATTTACGTGATCCAAATGCTAAAATGGATAAAGATGTTCGGTTGAGCGCTTTCAAGTATGCATTACATAATGATGAGCTCTATCGGAGAACCGCCGAAGATTTGTTGCTCAAGTGCTTAGGATCGGATCAATCAAGAGTGGCTATGGGAGAAGTCCATAAAGGCATCTATGGTATGCATCAATCAGCCTCGAAGATGAAGTGGTTATTGCGTAGAGCCTATTTCTATTGGCCTACTATGATGGTCGATTGCTTTTGTTACTACAAAGGTTGCGAAGAGTGCCAGAAGTTTGAAAATATTCAGCTTATGCCTGTTGCTATGCTTCATCCTATCATCAAACCTTGGCCTTTTTGTGGTTGGGGGCTAGGCTTCATTGGCCAAATTCATCCCCTATCTTCAAAGGGACACCGATTTGTGTTGGTTGCTACGAATTACTTTACAAAGTGGACCGAGGCAGTTCCTTTGAAGTATATGACACATAAGGAGGTAATTGAGTTTGTCACTGAGCATATTATCCATAGATTCGGCATCCCTCAAACATTAACTATAAATCAAGGGACATCATTTGTGTCTATGGAGGTGAGGAATTTGCGAATTATATAAGATTAAGTTGCCCAATTCATCTCCATACTATGCTCAAGCTAATGGCCAGGTGAGTCTAGTAATAAGACTTTGATCAAGCTTATAAAAAATAAGATCGAGGAAAATCTAAGGAGGTGGCATGAAGTTTGGTCTGAAACTCGATGGACACATCGCATTTCAAGGCATGGTGCTACACAAGTTACTCCTTTTGAGTTGGTATATGGTCAAGAGCCCATGTTACTCGATGAAATAAATTTAGATGCATACAGGCTTGCTAAACAAAATGATTTATCTGCTGTTATGTATCATGATTTGATGATGGATAGTATTGATGAGGTGACTGATGTAAGATTAAAAGCTCTCAAGGAAATAGGGAAAGACAAAACTCGAGTTGCCAAGGCATACAACAAGAAAGTCAAGAGTAAATTCTTCCAAGTGGGAGAATTAGTGTGGAAAACCATACTACCAATTGAATCGAAAAGCAATAAGTTTGGCAAGTGGTCACCAAATTGGGAGGGTCCATACAAAGTGATCAAAGTCATATTTGAAAATTCCTATATGCTAGAAACATTGCAAGGTGAACGTCTCACACGAGCAATTAACGCGAAGTATTTGAGAAAGTACTTTCCAAGTGTTTGGCAAGAAGCCTAAGTGCTCTTCAAGCAATGACCGATACATGTATCGCCCTTAGAACAAAAATGGCCGATGTATACATCGCCCTTAGTCATTGAGCTAGCCGATGAGATAGGTATTGTCGCCGTTCGGTTTTGTTTGATTAAGTGTTTTCAGGTTTATACATTATTCACCTAAAAACAGGGGGCATATGTTGGCAACAAAAATGTCCATTTTGTGAAGTTGTCAAAATATGAAACGTACTTTACCATTGCGTTTCTCTCGTTAAGATGATAAAAAATATATATGAAACGTCTAATTCAGAGTCCGGATGAAGAAGTTATGCCCGAAAAGATGCTTCATTGTCGTAGTTCCGACAGTTGTCGGGACTTCCGGGAAGCTTGAAAAAAACTGCTCAAGTGCTTGGGATTATCCCTACGTCGGGAGTTCCAACAAATGTCGGAAGTTCCAACTGTTGAAACTTCCGATTTGGGTCGGAACCGATGAGACCTAATAGAAAACCCAGTTTGGATCTGGGCTTTTGTATTCCGATCCGAACTATTCCAAACTCGTGGGAAACTTGAAAAATAAGTTTTGGAGAGGTTTTCTACTAGGATAAGACTATCCCCTCTATATATATGAAAGGATCATGGTCGATTGAGTACCCATCTATTCAATCAACACAATAACAGAACAAATCAATCTACTACCTCTTTTACCCTCTTTTCCCAATCTACCTCTTCTTCTCGTTCTTCGTCGAGTGTTGCATGGCTGAAGGATTGACGACGACGATGCTCAAGAGCGGTCAGATCGGCTAGAGCAGCCTATAGCCGCTGCATGCCCCGACGGGGTCTCTCCCGGGTATGTGGGGTTTCGGGTCTAAAGAGACCTCGCCGACGTGTCTTTGCGTATCGTGCTCCGGCAAGACTCCTCCGACGACGTGTCTTGCGTATCGTGCTCATCGCTGAAGGCACAAGATCCAGGTGTGGACATCCCCTAGGCGCCAGCTAATCTAAAAATCAGCTAGGCCCTACATCGAGCGATCTAGCTCCTTATCGAGGTTGTGACCTAATCAAACGTCAACAAGTACCTACCAAGTTAGTCAAGTTTTACTGTTGACTATACGTGTCACACAGTCAAACACACCGTCCGTGCATATAAAGTATGATATTCAGGACTCAGGAGAACTTCCAGCTAAAACCACTTGACAAATGAAACTGTTAAACTTGCACGCGAATTTTCTTTCGTTCGAGAAATACTGTACTAGCAAGAGCTAGCCATTCTCTATGTGGCGAATTAGAGCATCTCCAAGAGATTAGCCAAATTATTTTCTAAAAAGAAAAATGTCTCCACCAGACTCTATAAATAACTCTCTAAATTTAGTAGCTCTCCATCCCACCTCATTTTAAAGGAAAAACGTTTCCAACAGAGTCTGTTGGGATACTCTAGTATTTTTTTTGTCAAATCTATTTTAGAGAATACCTAAATCAGTAAATTTAACTAGTCTTTTTTAATAATCTCTTGGAAATGCTCTTAGATTCGTTTCTAATTTTAGTCTAGCTTCTTTTTAAAGAGCAGTAGTTCTGTATATTTTTATTTAATATTAAAAAGCTAAAATTTATTATATTATGTTTCATCCTGTCCCCCCTAACTATACAGATTGTAGAAAGTTTTTTTCATCCCGTTTTTGCTTTACTTACAAAACTGCACTCACCCCACCATGTCTCATATGTGACTCAGCTCATGATCCGCAATCATACAAGGTAGAATAAAACATGTCTAACGATGATCGCTATGAAGTTATTGAGTCATGTTCTTTGTGTCTCATTTATTACCAGAACTGATCATACAAGTTGTAATAATTTGTGTCTATATAATGATCGATATGGAGTCTAACTCTAAGACGTATTGAGTTGCGTCCTCTATATCTCATATATGACCCAGACGTACTCATGATCCATTCATACGAGTTAACAACTCATGTCTTACAATGTTACAGAGCCCGGTTTCTACGAATTGAGTTCATGTTGCAACGTACAAACACATTTCCTAGTAAATATAAAAGCTAATGGTCAATTGAGCGCATACAACCAAATTTACTTATTTATTATTATCTTTTAGCATGTTTTTCATCACCAAATCCTATTATGCTTTTCGTCCTTTTGTTGCTAAAAATGATGAAACCCTAGAGCATTCAAGATGGCTAGCAATCTGGAGCAATCAAGATGGCTAGAGCAGCCCACATCTCCTTAAAACAAGGTTGCTCAAATATACATTATTGGAGGTTGAATTATGTTGATGTAGCAACACTTTATAGCAAAACAAGGTTTAGCAATTTGCAAATCCTATGAAACATGATTTTGTGTGTTTAGTAGAGATACAAATCCTTATAAAAATGTTCGATCTAGATTCTCTCCGAAGATGTGAGACCGTTTGGTTGATAGGTTAAGTTATGATTTAAAAATATAGTTTTTAGTAGATACTCCCTCCGTTCCTATATACTAGGTGTACACCATTTTTTTTTATTTTAGCCACAATAGGAGGCGGACTATAAATATCACTGTTCAAGCCTGGCTATCAATCATGGAACAGTGTTTTTTCTCTCATAACAAATCAGTCAACCATACTTTTCAACCTAACTTTTCAGCGAAGCGAATAATGCTGCCGTGCATGTTGAGTTAATACGTCTTGGTATTAGGACTGAAGCCCCTCACGCCAGGTAAACAGGAATGGAGGGAGTACATATAAAAGAAATTATAATGAAAAAAAAATTAAAAGTTTTTTAGGAGGAATCACTTAAACATAATAACCTATTTTAAAATGTCTGTGCTCAAAAAACATTAACTAAAAATTAACCAGTACAGCGGAAAGCTAAGGAACGAAATCAGACAAAATTCTAGACAGTGGCTCGAAGGATTCAGGGAAACGTTTCTCTCCCTATACCTGTTTGGCAGTGATTCATGCTAGAAGCAGCCACTCGAAGCTTCTTATTATATATAAAGAGAAAAGAAAAGCACATTTTGTCCCACTTCACCAGCTTGCCCACTGGGGTCCCAGTGTCCCACTCGTCCGACTCCGATCCATCCATTCCTGCCGCCACCACTGCCCTTTTGCTTGCCTACCCGTGGGGACACGCCACGAGCGAGAGGGGAGACGGATGCGACTAGCATCCCCGAGAACGGGCCCCACACGGGCCTCTCCTTCCCGGAACCCCCACGTCGCCGCCTCGTCTGACCGGTCAAACCGCACGAGCTTTGACGCACACACACCCTCACCCTCTGCGTCAAACCCCTGCCTTCCAAGAAGCATCCCGTTTCCAACACGTTCACATTCTGCCTCTGAACTCCACTGACATTCCGGTCCCACCTGCTGCCGTCCCTACCTGTAAGTGACGCCATTGCTTAATGAAGCGCCCCCACCTGGCCGCTGCCGGCGCTTTACCGCGCCACTACCGACCGCTACTTAAACGGCAGCCCAGACACCGAGCAACCACTCCCGTCCGCCTCTCTCCCCGCCTCTCCTTTCGATTCTGATCTCTTCCCCTCTCGTTTCGTCTCCTCTGCTCGGCTGCTCTGCTCTGCGTGGTCGCTCGCCATGGCGTCCTCGACGGGGAGCTTGGAGCACGGGGGGTTCACGTTCACGCCGCCGCCTTTCATCACCTCGTTCACGGAGCTGCTCTCCGGGGCAGGGGACATGCTAGGAGCCGGCGGCGCCGACCAGGAGCGGTCGCCGAGGGGGCTGTTCCACCGCGGCGCCAGGGGCGGCAGCGGCGTGGGCGTGCCCAAGTTCAAGTCCGCGCAGCCGCCCAGCCTGCCCATCTCGCCGCCGCCGATGTCGCCGTCCTCCTACTTCGCCATCCCGGCCGGGCTCAGCCCCGCCGAGCTGCTCGACTCGCCCGTCCTGCTCCACTCTTCTGCTAACATCTTGGCGTCTCCCACCACCGGCGCCATCCCGGCGCAGAGGTTCGACTGGAAGCAGGCCGCCGATCTGATCGCATCTCAGCAAGACGACAGTCGGGCTGCCGCCATCGGTGCCTTCAACGACTTCTCCTTCCACACGGCCACCTCCAACGCCATGCCCGCGCAGACCACGGCCTTCCCTTCCTTCAAGGTAGGAATTGCATGCTTGTTACTAGCACAAGCTAATGAGCTACAGATATATAGCACGAGGCCAGTAGCCGAGAGTCTCAATCTGTGTGTGGTCGTGCAGCAGGAACAGCAGCAGCAGCAAGTCGAAGCCGCAGCAACCAATAAGCAGAGCGTCGTCGTGGCGTCGAGCAACAAGGCGGCGAGCAGCGGTGGCGGGAACAGCAACACCAAGCTGGAGGACGGTTACAACTGGCGCAAGTACGGGCAGAAGCAGGTGAAGGGGAGCGAGAACCCGCGCAGCTACTACAAGTGCACGTACCACAGCTGCTCCATGAAGAAGAAGGTGGAGCGGTCCCTGGCCGATGGCCACATCACGCAGATCGTGTACAAGGGCGCGCACAACCACCCCAAGCCGCTGTCCACGCGCCGAAACTCCTCCGGCGGCGCCGCGGCGGCGGAGGAGCAGCAGGCCGCCGCCAACAGCCTCTCCGCCGCGGCGGCGGGCTGCGGGCCGGAGCACTCCGGCGCCACCGCCGAGAACTCGTCCGTCACCTTCGGCGACGACGAGGCGGAGAACGCGTCGCAGCGGAGCGACGGCGACGAGCCCGACGCCAAGCGCTGGTACGTAGTAATCAATCCCCAGATTCATTCGCTACTCATCATTCATTCACAAGTTTGGCCGTATTAATTTTCTTGTGTTCGATCGTGGAACTCATCGTATATACATGTACATGTCTGCTTGATCAGGAAGGAGGATGGTGAGAACGAGGGCAGCTCTGGCGGCGTCGGCGGCAAGCCGGTGCGCGAGCCCCGGCTGGTGGTGCAGACGCTGAGCGACATCGACATCCTGGACGACGGGTTCCGGTGGCGCAAGTACGGGCAGAAGGTGGTGAAGGGGAACCCGAACCCGCGGAGCTACTACAAGTGCACCACGGTGGGGTGCCCCGTGCGGAAGCACGTGGAGCGCGCGTCCCACGACATGCGCGCCGTGATCACCACGTACGAGGGCAAGCACAACCACGACGTGCCCGTGGGCCGTGGCGCTGCCAGCCGCGCGGCGGCGGCGGCGGTGGCGCCGACGGGCTCCGGATCAGCCTTGATGGCCGCCGGCGGCCAGCTGGGCCAGCAGCTGCAGCAGCAGCCCTACACCCTGGAGATGCTGAGCGGCGGAGCATACGGCGGCGGCGGCGGCTACGCGGCCAAGGACGAGCCGCGGGACGACCTGTTCGTCGACTCGCTCCTCTGCTAGTGCTGCTAGCGTGGGGAATGCGGAGTCGCGGTCCACCAATCTCGGCGCGGCGGCGTCCGTAGCCAGCCTGCTGTACGTGTACGGCGGGTGTACGTATACGGCCGTAGCGTACACGCTCGCCTTCGCACTCAGATACGTACAGAATACACACACGCACACAACACGCTGTTGTATACACTGGATCCTAGTAGGTGTTTTTAGCTTAGGTAGGAATGGAAATTTGTTGATTCGTTGGAGGCCTTTCTGCCACGCGCGCACGGTGCCCATGCGTCTTTCGTAGCGACAGTGCCGCTGCCGCCGGTGTGGAAAAGCCATACGTATATCAATCATATAGTGAGGCAAAGTCAATAAAGCTGAAAAAAGTTTTGCGTTATTTATTTCATCACCTCTTCTCCCTTCTGCTACTGCTACTGCTACTGAAATGAATGTGAATTACCAAAATACAACAAAAAGAAGTATTTTGATTTTATATAAGTGACGTGTGGCTACCATGCATTTTGATTTTATATAAGTGACGTGAGAGGTGACGTGCTGCTCTGCTCATCCTTATCGCAATGAGCAGTGCAATAAACTATCTAAATCTTGTACGTAGTACTAGAGCAGTTGCATCGCTGCGGGCACATTCGCTGAACCCAGGTGGAGCTGGCACGTGCCTCAACTTGTGTATCAAGAAGGCGACGTGCGCATCATCGCGTTTCCTCTCACCTTTCCGGAGGCTAGCTGATGATCCAAAATCACGCTAATCAATACGGACGTATGTGGGGTATGCTAGCCTCAAGTGGAGTTTCGTCGTTGGTTTGTTCGATTGGTTGATTTGTTTCATCGTTGGTTCGTAAAGAAATATTATTAGCTGATTTGTTTTAGAAAAAAATATTATTCTAGTTAAAAATTTAAAAGCATTTACGATAAGGCACAGCCAAAACATACAGACCGACGTCTCCTGCCCTGCGTAGTGGAGACACCATCTCCTGCCCTGCGTACCATGATTGGGCCAGCCTAACTGAATTTGCCGACCTCCCAGCAGCGTCCCGGCTCCACATCTTCTTAGCTGCACGATGCACAACCGACAAATTATCGCCTTCTCACACTAGATTTTTGCTCAGTGCGTGTTTAGTTGTAAAAAAAGTTCAAAAAAGTGATACAGTACTTATCACATCGAATCTTACGATACGTGTATAGAATATTAAATGTAGACGAAAAAAAACTAATTGCACAGTTTGGTTGAAAATCGCGAGACGAACGTTTTGAGCCTAATTAGTCCATGATTGAACACTATTACCAAATAAAAACGAAAGTGCTACAGTACCTAAATTCCAACTTTCCCTCCAACTAAACACAGCCTCAAAAGGGCATCGGTTGGTTTTTTCTATGGACAGCAAGTACGGCAGCCGCGGAGCGCGCGCAAAGTTTTGGCTGTGGCATTACTCTGTTTCGGCGACGGCCAGGGGCGCGCGGGCTCATGCTAATCAGCGGCGGCTAGGGTTCGTCACCAATCATGGGGCGCCGGACGCAAAATTAAATGGATGACAAGGCGAGACATGCACAAGAGATACCGGAAGGGGGATGAGGAACTTACAAGTTACTTAGTTTAAGAAATTAATTAAACTATTTTAGATGAGATGGTGTATCATGATTCATGAGTCAATTCCTCAACTTTGGTAAAATAACTCCATTCACACCGTAATTTTCGTATGCTTATCACGTAGTTATCTTGATTGTAATTTTCGTGTGCTTCATAGATATGTTAGAAAAAGGAAAAAATTGTCAGTGTTTGTCGGGTTCATAAACCCGGGGTTCTTCGTGGACCGGTTTCTCAACAAAGGTTCGGCCCAGCAGACGACGTTGCGAACGACGCGCGACTCATGGGCCAGCCCAAAAACCTAAAAGACAGGGCAGAACGACGATCCAATCTCTAACCGGAAGGCCTCGCTAAGATGGAACAAACGCTCGCTTCCGGCTCTGGCCCGCCTCTCCGACCGGAAGGCCTGACCAAAGAGGAACATCGCTCGCTTTCGGCTCTAGCCAGCCTTTCCGACCGGAAGGTCTGGCCAAATACCGCTTCCGACTCTGATCCGCGTCTCCGATCGGGGATGCGCCGAACCTCTGCTCACAGCTCTTCTCCAACTGACACAATCAGAGCCGACTGGGACCAACCAACCAGAGACGCCCGCTCGGTAAGGACTAGGAAACAGACGGAGAAAGTAAGGTAGGGCACTCAAGTCAACAGCAGTACCAAGGACCGTACCCACCGGACAGTACCCTGAGACCTTCCTGGCATGACAGAACCCAAGCAGTGTTGTAGGCGCCGATATTTTCCCTATAGTATTGTGGGCGCCATCAACTCCCATACCAGACAAACACGCCCCACATGCCTCTGGGCATCAACAGTATTGTGGGCGCCGACATTTACCGTACCAGGCGAACATGGTAAAACCCCCTACATGTCTCTGGGCATCAACAGTATAGCAGGCACCGACGTCTGCCATACCAGAAGAAGACGACGCAACCTCCCACGTGCATCTGACATTAAATAGTATTGTGGGCGCCTACCATTATCTGGTACCCGCTGGCTTGGGCAACAAGACTTAGTAGCATACATACTCTCTCACACACTTGTAAGGTTGTCCCCTTCATCTATAAAAGACGATGCACCCCTTCCCGACAAAGGGATCGATCAGCTCACTAACACACAACAGCAGAACCACTAGGTTTAAACCTCGAGCACACGCTCAAACACTTAGCACATAGTGGAGCTCCCGTCACACTTGGCCCTTCAGACCAGAGTCCGACCGGACCTCTTGTACCCCATCTTTCTCTCTTCCGTTTGTAACCCCACAGTAAACTTCGAGCACCTAAGCTCAGGAATAAAGTCACCGACCGACTCAAACTGGACGTAGGGCACGTTGCCTGAACCAGTATAAACCCTGCGTCATTGAGTGCTAGGCCACCTCCGATCACAACGTACAGCAAAACTATAAATATTTACATGTTGGTCACTTTCTGCACCAATAGTTGGCGCCGTCTATGGGGAACACACTGTACGTTCACACTTTTGGTCATCGGATGGCCCACTTTTCTGCCACCTTCGCCATGGCGGGCTCAAGCGATACGACTCACTTCGGCTCACTGGAGTTTCCCTCACTCCCACCTGTGGGGATGTGGGTTCCGCCTGTCTTCGAACCATCCTAGGCCTTCTTCTATGGAAGCATGGACTTTGTCGCCGACCGGCTCAGCGTACTGCACCTCCGCGAGGAGGCACTTGTTCCGACGCCCGTCGGAGGGGCACCCTCCATCGGCTCCGAGATGCACGATGACTTCAACGATAAGGTGCCCGCGCTTCATTCCGAGCAAACTCTCTGCTCAAACCCCGCTGTGAGTAATGTGCATACTGTTATTTACTCTCTATTTACTATCTCCCGCCGATTATCCGGAGGGACCGTATTGTCTGCACCGCAAACACTGTATGATTGGTTCCCCTATGGCCTCGCGTCCCCTGCGGACACGTACGCTCGGGGGCTCCGAAGGACGCTAGCGCTGCCCCCTCTCACATCCGAATTCATGGGAATGGCGAGCTATGCTCCCACCACTTTCCACGAACTCCTGGATGACGATGTTGAGAGCGACGGCTCCAGCATCGGCAACGTGGCACCTAGCCACCGTCCATCCTGGGAGTGCGCTATGACGGACGCTCTGGGACAGCCGCCGATGGTTGCGGAGTCTTTGCAGACTCACACTCCTTCGGACCCGTGTGTGGAGGCCCTCGTGCTTGCACAAGAGCACGTCGAGGAGCTACGACAACAGCGGCAGAACTAGCCGCCACCTGCGCCGACGCGCTCGGTGCAGCACGTTGCGCCCCCTGCGAGTGACCCGGTGAGCGGCGCCCAGCGTCGCGCCCGCTAGGTCCAGCGCGACATCATGAACAAGGGGAACGACCCCCACAGTTCGCTCGGGCTAGCCAGAACATCGCCGGTGCGGCAATGCTTCTGCGCGGCGTTCTTGAACCCGTCGACCCCCAAGAGCGAGTGGTCTATTAGAACCTCCGGGCGCTGGTGGAAGCCACCACCGTTCAACAGGTGGAAATCTCTGTATGGAAACCCTGACTCACGCCCTCTCTCCCCACTAGGGGAGTGGGGACGCACTAGACGGATCGCTCCATCCGCTCACCGCTACAGCCGCCAAGCGTGGCTCGGGAGGTCGCGGTTGCGCCGCGGTCTGACCTGGCGCTTGCTCCACACCGACCGCCGATACGCGAATGACTCGGTCCGCACCAAGACGCTCGCAACGTCATCAGCAACCGGCATCAGGCCCAATATGATGATGATGTCCTTCGGGTGATAGTGAGGGCAGGCGACACGGGCCCCGACCGGACTATCGAGGGGAGCGGTGAAACATGCCCCAGGCGTGGTCGCCGACCACACGACCGGAGTCCTAGCCCAGATGGCCCGGGACCACGAGCCTTTGGCCGGTGTATCCAGAGAGCGCCGTTCCCACAGCGCTTCTGACCACCCACAAACATCACCAAGTACACCGTGGAGACGAACCCCGGTATTTGGCTCGACGATTTCCGGCACGCCTGTCGATCTGGGGGGGTGGATGATGACCATTTCATCATTCAATATCTCCCTAATTGCATGGGGGAACATGTTCGGGCGTGGCTTGAATTCCTCCCACACGACAGCATCCGCGACTGGGCGGACCTCAAGAGGGTCTTTGTTGGAAATTTCCAGGGGACGTATGTGAAAGGATCAAGATGCCCAAGAGGGGGGGGGATTGGGCTAATTCTAAATTTTCTTTCAATAATCAAATCCTACGGATAGCCCAATTAACCCTTTGTGCCTAGAAAAGTGTTTCTATCAAATCAACGCACAAAAGACTTGCAACCTATGTTCCAAACTTACTCTAGCATAGCAATTCTATGAATGTAAAGACAAGTATTGAATTGCTCAAAGTAAATACTTAAAGTAAATGCTCAAAGTGAATAGAGAAGGGAACACGGCGAT